ACTTGAATTAGAGAGCGTTAGAGTGTTGGGTCAGGTACGGTGCAGAGTCCCTGGAGCTGTTTAGCAGTTAAGTGGCCGTAATGCATTTAGTGTAAAGTGACTGGGATTGGGGGGGCTTAGCCGCAGCTCTCCGCCTCATTCTTAGAAAGTGCTCAGAGGTGCTAATACCAGTCGGATTTATGGCACTCATTCACAAACAGCTCGACTTCTGCAGCAAAGAGTCGCTCTCAGTCTTCCTCTCTGGCCATTTCTGTCTGCCTGTCCCTGTCGCTCTTCACCGTCGGTCTCACTTCAACCAAACTGTCGCACTTTCATTTCCAGTCTCGTTCTAAAGCTTTTTTCGAGACTTAAATCTCAGGGTCTCTTCCTCTCTCTAGCGTCTCTCGGTGGCGCCTTACGAAACCAGCCACCCCAAGTTGTGTGCTCGCTGCGCTCGCCCTACATTTCTGAATCCACACTCCTCTATGGTGAATGAGGAGTCAGTTAGAGAGAGACAGAGACTGCAGTGCTTCACTATCAGGGGTGTGGGAGATGTCTGGAGATCCCACTCACTCTGCACTTAGATGTGTGTGTGCGTGTTTGTGTCTGCGTGTGTGTTTGTGGTGCATTTTCACACATTTATGAGTCACAGGTTGTACATGTTATAATCCTGACATACATATATACATGTAAATGCTGGGCTTGTGTGTCTGTGTGCGTGTGTGTATGTGTGGGGAGGGGTTGCCTGTGCAAACTAAATACTAAAAATAAACCTGTACTGTACTTCGTTGTGTGCAACAGTACATTTTGTTTGTGTTAGCATGCTCAGAGAGGCTATATAGTCTGCACAATATACACAAAAGTGTGTATACGTGTGTTTGCTTGCACAGGGCTAGGCGCTGTGTGTGTGTGTGTGTGTATGCTCTAGTACACGTACAGCTTATGTAACGCCCAGGCATGTTCTAACTCTACTGCGCCTGCTATATGTGTGTAGGTGCTTGCTTGTATGCGTGCGCCCAGTTGTGTGTAACTGTGGTAAGTGTACTCGCTCGCTTGTGTGTGTGTGTGTGTGTGTGTGTGCCAGGCAGACTGCAATGCCGCAACCAGCCTTCTCTGTATCATCATTGACCAAACTCGCCATCTGTGCCTGTAAGCTATAGAAACAGCACGTCGCACTGCTACACAGCAATCCACACACCATTAGTGTCTTATGAAATCGCAGCGGGATGCCACCGTGTTGCTTGTGTGTGTTTGTGTGTGTGTGTGTTTGCACATGCACCGTATCTGTGTGCACGTGTGTTTGTGTGTGTGTGCTCATGCGTGTTTAACTGTGGGGGTTTTTTTCAGCCTGTTTGCATGCTGTCTGTATTCTTCAGTGTATTACAGCCTGTACCTGCTCTCACACACACGCACGCCTCCCTGCGTACACACAGTGCCGTGTTTGTGTGTGCACAGGGTGGCCCACAGTGTATATGGGTCACTCTCTTAGGAACCATAATCCCACGTTTGGACCAACTTACTCACTGGGGTTTCACTCTTCCTGTTTGGCCAAGCTGATGGCAACAAGCATAATGACCTCACCACAGCACTCGGTCATTGGCCTGCAGACCCCGGGCCTCTCAGCCAATCGCGCGCAGCTCTGGTGACGTACAGCCTCCAGCGGCGGTCCTGATTGGCTGGAGGGGCGGGACTAAGGGGTGCTGTGCTGTTTAGAGCACTTCTGATTAGCTGGGAGAGAGAGAGAGTTTATGAGAGGGATGGAGAGAGAGAAAGCCTAAAAATTTGGGAGTTGGTGTTCTTTGTGGTTCCCCCTGAAACTACACTTAACCTGTGGCTCACATGGATCATAGTGGAGACACAGGGAATACATACAGACACAGAGCAGCACGCAGGAAGTTACCTGTGCTCTTTAAAGCTGCTCTATAAGTGTGTCTTGAAGTTATAATATGTGAGACAGCTTCGGGGACGTGACATATTATTATATATTATATATCTGTATTAAATTTGATAATGTCATGTCAGGGTTTTTTTTTTTTGTCTACTGAAAGACGTCCAACCTGTTTCAAGAGGACAGACAGACTCTCCCCCTGTGTCTACACACGTTTTCATGGTTTGTAGACAAATGAAGAGGGGATGAAAAAAGAAGAAAAGACAGAGAAAGAGAGAAAGATCTCATTGCTGTCCTGCCTGTCTGTCTAACACCCAGACATGCCCACAGAGGCCTCCCATTGGCCGCCGAGGCTTCGCTCTCCCAACAGCTGTTCTGTGTTTTCCCACACTGTGATTGGCTGCGGCGCGCCGTCCATCAAATTTACTTTGACGTGTGGCTCCGCCCCCGCTCCCCTTCCGCGGCATCCTATTGGCTACTGTACCCGTTCGTGCTCCGCTATTGGCCGCACGGCCTGGTTGTCAAGGCTTTGGGGCTTCATTCACCATTTTGCGTCTGTAGTGTAGAATGTACAGGGCAGTAGTTTTTCCTCCTTTTAAGTTGCTTTGCCGGAGAAACATGAACGGCCGCTAATTGGCAGCTGCGGACGACCGGCCACCCTGCCCTATTTTACCCGGCGGACTCAACAGAGAATCACACTGGGGTACTATATTAGCTCTGGTGAGTATAAGCTGCCCACAAATCTTTCTCTCCTGCAGCACTGCAGTGGGGCTTGTTGTGCTTTTTTTTGTGCCGAGCTGCTAACGTTGTTCATGTTTACTGTGGCCATAAACAGTATTAGCAGTGGAGCTGATGAGCATATTTCTCGATATCTGGGTGGCCGACGGAGAGGAGTAGAGGGCGGATTGGGTGTCTTGTGTGGGGGGAAAAAAAGGGAGCGGTGCGGTTAGACATAGTGAGCTCGAAACTTTTCCACTAGAAATAAATTCAACGCCATAACTGCCGTTGGACTTCCTACAACAACTGTTATTTTATTCGTGCGTTGTGTCCAAAAAAACCTCGAGAAACTCCTCGCTTGTCATTCCTCCTCCTCACTCTTACATTGACATATTTTCTTCCTCTTTTTCATGAATCAACGTGGCTGTTTGAATTAATGTGTGTGTGTGTGTGTGTGTGTTTTTGTAGGGGGGCTTGAGGGCCTTCTCCTTGGACTAGTTTGTGTCCACATATTGACACTTTGTCCCCTTTATGTATCACGGCTGCAATAGTGCAAACGACGACGAGGGTCAATACAAAGTTACCCGAGCAGCTTTCGCCGTATTTTCCGACGACTGTCACTTTCGGATGGGCCAAAACAACCCGACTTTTTTAGTCCGCTGTTTGTGTCGTTTGTGTGTAACTGTGGAGTGGATCGACAAAGTTAACGCGTTCATCTGCTCGGGACATTTCACACTGTCATGCAGCACGGGGAATACGGGCCGTATTACAGGGTATTAAGGGTCAGTGTGCCCGTTGAATCAGTCGTTTTTACCGGTGACAGTGAGGAGAGGATTTCCAAGCGGCCTTGTGTGTGTAGTTGAGGCCTGGTCGCTGCACGCCACGGCCTGCTGTGTTGTGGAGTAAAACTGGTAGTAATCGCTGTACTACGAGGGCTTGACACATACACGGTACTATCCAGCTAAACCAGAGGTGACGACATCATCTCCTGTAGTTTGCATTTTGTGCTTCGGGCCTGGTTCTAGATAAAGTTAACAGCTGTTATCTACTCTGGATTATAATAATGTCAATATATGTATGCACCCTGGGCTGTCGTTTATAAAGCACTGTAGTAATCCTGTTATACACTCTTTTTTTTTTTAAAGAGCTGCTCTGCTAATGACTATACTTTAAAACATTATGCAGTTTGGTGTTGGGGTCAGAAATATACTGTGCCAAATGATTTAAAACAGCACCTGAAGGGAAGGATCTGGCCACGCTCACCACTGTGTAGTGGCTTATAATGAATGTATGGCAAGGTTGGCAAGCATTTGTGGAGGGCAGATGCAGTTTTAAAGGTATATGCATTAGGCCTGTATGTTTATATTATATATGTATAATCAAATGAACACACTTTATGCTTTATTTAATAATCAGTCACATTTTGTTTAAGCTGTTATTAGTTAGTTTTAGCCCGGTTGTGTTTGTAAAAGTCCTTAACCTCTGACCTTAACCTGCACAATCGCTTAGCTAAAGTGAAATTTGGCTTCCAGAAAAGCAACAGTTCATGTTTAAGTCACCTCGGGCAGCACGGTGGCTCCGTGGTTAGCGCCGTCTCCTCACAGCAAGAGGGTAGCACAGCAAATGCCCGGCTCGGGCCTCTCTGTGTGGAGTTTGCATGTTCTCCCTGTGTCTGGGTGGGTTTTCTCCGGGTGGTCCGGTTTCCCCCACCATCATGTTAATTCTCCAGTCAGTGCCCATGACCAGAGGCAGTGGCTCAGATCTGGATTTGGTTCCCAGGCGCTGTACAGTGGCTGCCCACTGCTCCTAATACTTAAGATGGGTTAAATGCAGGGGAATAGTTTGACTATACGTGGTTCCCATGACTTGCATCAGCTCACTGCCGCCTACAGCCATGTCTGCTATGTATTCATGTCAACATTGTTCTTCAAATAATATATTATTGAACTTGTGTATTCCTGAGACACAGTCCTACTATAGCTCCCATATGGGCTTCCTTGCTCCGTATTTCACGGTGGGGAGTGTGAGTTGCGTCAGTTTTTCTTTAAGCTGTTATCATTAGGGCCATGACTCTGACACCAGCTGTTGTACACAGTACACTACTGAGTAAACACACGTAGCATACCTCTATCGTGACCAAGTAAGGCCGACTGCCAAATTATTTTATGGTGGCTGCTGTACGGCTGTCTGTCCTAAATAGGGATTTACATAGAGCACAGTGATGGCTGTGAGCTCTCTGTGTGCACTATCAACTATCATCACATAGATGTTTGCTGTGTGTGTGGCCTTGAGACAGGCGGCACTCATCTCTGAAAATGGATTTCTCTCTAGCCGATATGATGTGGCAGATATTAAAAGGACCTGAATGAATGCGAGCCTTCACAGACAAACAGGAAGGCAGCAAAAGGGAAAGGAGACAGGCAGACAGAAAGAAAGAGACTAGTGGGAGGATGGATGTAGAAACAGGGACAGACAGACATGTAAGTTAACAAACAGTCACTGACAAGTAGATATGCCTAGTGGTGGATGATAGACATCAATCCAGAACATCTTGACAGTGAATATCACAGTTGGAGTGGGGAATTTCAAAAAGATGACAGAGCATATAGGGGGTGTTTTGATTCTGCTTCTTATATACTTGTTGTTAACAGACTTGACTCTTGTATTGGAAGAAATGAGGCAGAGTACACAACAGCTAGGACCCGAGGCAAGTCCCGCGCGTATCAGCCACACAGCAAACAAACCAGTTAAATGACAACACTCCCCTGTTCAACAAGTCAGCAAAATCAATCTGTTTTACTTTCTAAACGGAGGCCGAACTGTGAATGAGTCCGGTGTGGAATAGGAGATATTCTGAATGACTCTGGCATGGTTAGGAGCGTTACTGAATGACTCTGGTGTGGAATAACAATTATTCGGAACAACTCTGCTCTTCTGGATGACTGCAGCACAAAATGAGGATAGGGACTTAAGTGGAAGGAGAGTAAAGAAAGAGAGAGATGAGAGGTAGAAATCGATAATAGAGAGAGAACAGAGAATGCAGGCAAGGGATAAGAATGAAAGTGTAATAGTAGCAAAAAGAGAGAGAGAGAGAGAGAGGAATAAAGTAACGGGAAGTTAGGTAATGGTCTTCCACAGGAAATGGAGTTTGTAGGGGCGGATTGACTCTGCTTTGAAATACATAGATAAAGGTCGCCACAAAGAGAGAGGGAGCGAGAGAGAGAAAGGGAGGGTTTCAGTATGCAAGCGAAGAAGGAATTCCCCCGCCTCTACTGCCCCGGCCAAGAAGTAGTGCGTGTGTGAGAGTGTGTGTGAGAGGAGTGCATGCAGAAAGGCTTGTCTGGGCAAATTGCAAAGCGCTTCTCACTATTTCCATACTCTGTTGTAAGTCAAAATTGTGTTTACCCTACAATATCGCCTCCTGTTTTCAATATGTACCTGGTATGGATGCAGGCCTTGTGTAATGTGAGTAGAACCTGTTATGTAATGAATTAATGTGTAATGAATTTGTAGATGAGTCATATTTATTACTACTCTAGTACGATGGTGCATCATTTAACAGGGAATATATTTCTTAAAATTAATCTTTAACTGTTCATTACTCTTATTTTCTATTATGGCTGTGATCAGAAGTCCCACTTTGTTGTGCTTTTATTTTGAATTACTTTGATTTCACTCCAGTGTTTTCATGGATGTTTGATTTTGATTCAATCAGTCAGTTTTCCTCTCAAAGCCATGCAGTTAGTAGCTATCTCGCGTAGTGAATAGGCTTTGTGCATGTCTGAATGTGTTTGCCACATGAGTAACCCACACTCCCTGTTCCCTTTCTTTCAGAGTCTCTGGAATAAGGTGGGCAAGTGCTGAAGTCGCGCAACGAAGACAAGACAGGATGAGAGAGAGAGGCCCCGGCAGAAGAGGAAAATAGAGAGAATAGAAAGGAGGGGGAAGAAGAAAAAGTGAGGCGGAGCAAGAGAGGAACGCCAAAGAGAATCTCTGGGATAAATAAATAAAAAGATTTGTTTGGAGAAAAGGCAAGCTAGATGAAAAGATGAAGCCGATAAAAAAGCAGGGCCGGCGCTCTCCTCCCTCCACCCGGGCCAAAGGGGGGAAGCGTCGTGGAGCAGGGGATGCCCCTGAAGGAGGGGAGAAGAGAGACTCAGATGAGAACAGGGACAGAAGCAGATCCCCACAAAACCGTACACCATCCTCTTCCTTTTCGTCTAACTCACACTCAGAGTCCTCCCAGGCAGACCCAATCCGAGCACAGGACACTTCAGAGGGTGATGGGTTGTCAGAGACGACAGTATCACTCGTGATGGATTCTGGGAAATTGTTGACATCCTCAGATGATAGATCAGGGAGGTCAGCTGTGAGCGGCAGCAGCCACAGTGACAGTGGTGGTAGCAGTTGTAGTAACAGTAGTACACCAAGCGCAAACAACAGCCCAAACCCCGCCTCCAGCCGAAAAACGGCCACCTTCAAGGCCCGCGTTCCCAAGAAGAAGTACACCTCTGAACACTGCTCGTCTACAAGTGGTAACCACAGCAACCCTTCCTCCAGCACGCCCCCTCCTCTTCCTCTCAGTAGTGGGGTCATCAACCACGGGTCAACGGATTCAGGAAGTGACATCGGTGTCTCGCACCCTGATGGCGAGAGTCAGAGTAGGAGCCTGATGGACGACTTCCACAGCAGGAGCACTGGCAGGGAAGGGCATCAGGATGGCTCCCCAGGACCCCCTACCCTGTCACTGGGAGGGGAGAGGGAAAGGCCTGGAAGAGTTGAAGGGATGAGAGACGCAGAGCGAGTGTCGCCAAGCCCCCTGCCCCGCTGCTCTTCAACAGACACCGCCAGCGAGCACTCAGCTGACCTGGAGGTAGTTAGCGACACACACAACCTCACACAGATGTCTACACATGCACCATCCAGTCTCCCTGATGCACTGTCTGACGCCCTGGCAAAAGGGCTGAAGAATCAGCGTGTCCTAGCCCGCCAGCTCAGGAGAAGAAGTGAGGAGGAGGGAGGAGGCGAAAGGAGGGATGAAGGGTGTTCAGACTTGGTGTTCCGGGCTGGGGTGGTCCGTAAGGTCAGTGGCGAATTTGGCAGCCTGGAGGTGCAACTGAATGGGGAGAAGACGCTGTGGCGTTATCCATATCGACATGACAGCCCCCCAGGAGTGGTGGACATTATCCTAGATGCCCCACCTCCTGGTGTCCATCCAATACCTATTGGCACCCGTGTCTGTGTACCATTTGGCAATGAGGAGGGTAGCGAGGGCCAGTGGCAGTGGTACCGAGAAGGTGTAGTGACCCAGGTGGACACACACCCCGCAGTGGCCAACCGCTACCGTGTCCTGCTGTCTGAGGAAAGATCTCACTCTGTGGACGAGGAAGAGGATGGCAGAGTGGCAGCTGGTGCTACCCAAGCAGTGTGGGTCTCCCGACAAACACTCCGGCTTCTGGTACCACCTTGGGACCTGGATCTGCCATCAGGAGGAGGACGAGATGGAGAAGAGGTGGTCAGAGACAAAGACAGGGAGCGGGAAGACAGGGAGGAGATAGACGTGGAGCAGGAGGTGTGTCGTTTGAGCCGGGGGATGACACCTGGCGTGGGGTCGGTGTTGGGGAGAGGAATGCCCTACCCAGGCATGGTCCCTGTTTCCTCCACATCGGGCCACAACATTACCTCCCCAGTAACCCCAGTATCAGTCCTCAGCCTCGCTCCTGGCCGAGAATGGGAAATCGAGAAAGACTTGGAGAGGGAGAGGGACCTCCAGAGAAAACAGGATAGAGAGAGGGAAAGAGAGCGAGAAAGGGAGAACACTGCAAAGCAGCAGCAGCATCAACAGCAGCAACTCCACCCATACATGCCACTCACCCCCGAAGAAGACATGGAGGTTTCCCACTTTAACATGGTCCCAATGGGGGCAATCATACCTGGGGCTAAACCAATGGTAGGTCCCCAGCATCGCCACATTGTCTCTAAGCCCCCGTCTGGCTACCTCAATCCCCACCTGTCGGTGGTTCGGGGCATCGGGATCCCCCCTGCACACCTGGCCTTGAATCCCCACCCCCCTCCTTCACCTGTCCTGTTAGGCCTTGACCCAGCCGCTGGAGCTGGTGCTGTCATTACCACCCCCCAGCTCCCTCCACTCCCTCCCATCTCCTCTTCCACCGCATCCTCCTCCAGAGTAGAGAAGGCCTCAGGAGGAGGTTCTTCCAGTGGAGGAGCAGGTGGTGGCGGTGGATCTGGATCAGGTTCAACTTCCTCCTCCTCCTCACGTTCCCGCACCCCACTGACAGCTGCCCAGCAAAAGTACAAGAAGGGGGATGTGGTGTGCACGCCCACAGGCATCCGTAAGAAGTTCAATGGGAAGCAGTGGAGGAGGCTGTGCTCCCGAGAGGGCTGCTCTAAAGAGTCACAGCGCCGAGGATACTGCTCCAGGCACCTCTCAATGAGGACCAAGGAGATGGAAGCCAGTGGAGGCAGCCGGGAACGGGGTGGAGCCAGCAGCACAGGGACCCTGACGCCATCTGACCTCCGACTGAGCGGTGGGAGAGCCAGCTCAGACTTTGACTGGGATGAGACGTCACGGGAAAGCAGTGAAGCCAGCAGTCGTGGGGGAGACTCCCGCCCCCGTTTGGTCCTCCCCTCTCTGCTCCCCCAGGACCTCTCTCGTTTCGATTTTGATGAGTGTGAGGCAGCAACCATGCTGGTCTCCTTGGGGGGCTCCCGCTCAGGCACGCCCTCATATTCCCCTATCTCCAACCAGTCACCCTTCTCCCCTACCCCATCACCCTCACCCTCTCCGCTCTTCGGGTTTCGCCCTGCCAACTTTAGCCCCATCACTGCTCCCGCCTCACTTACTCCACGCCGCCATCGCCAGCTTAGCGGCACTAAGATGGGCACACCAGGTGCTGAACGAGAACGCCACCTGTCGGGGATTGTGCCCACTTTTCAGACCAACCTAACTTTCACAGTCCCCATGAGCCCCAGCAAGAGGAAGCTCGACACCCACCCACCTCCTCCACTGCCCACAGTCCAGGACTACCAGACCAAACCTGAGCAACAGCAGCTGGTGGGCATGGGGGGAGGGGTGGTAGGAGACTCAATCCTGGGCCACAACCCTGCTGCCTTTAGAGTCCTCTCCCCCCAGAGTCAGGCCACAACCCCCTCCTCACTTTCCTTCCCCCGGCCCCGTAGTGCCACCAGCAGGCCGCCATCCTCTGCAGCCTCCACGCCTCCACCCATGCTGGTCTCTCCCACTCCCCCGTCCCCGCTGCCCCAGGAACCCTCCCCACGCCGTATTGTGCCCCTCCGCGATTCCCCAGTCATTGTCCGCAACCCAGATGTCCCCCTGGCCAAGTTCTCTGATGGCCCATTAGGGAGGAGAGAGAGAAGCAGGTCCAGAGAGCACAGCCAGCCCCAACACACAGGTCCCCCAGGCCTGCAGGTCCCCGTCCCCATCAACGGGGCCACCACCAACGGTGCGGTTCTCCTGCGCAACCCCACATCCACACTTGTCCTGGTCACCTCCAGCTCGGTAAGAAAGTCTCTGGTATTGTTTTTGTGCTATATGATGTTGTACAGTATAGAGATGGGCCATAATACCTCATCACAATGCAATTTTACATTTCACTAGCAATATTGCATCATAGCTACGTTGATATAGTAATGGTACAGCAAATCGATCTTTATTAGATTGAGGTATATGGTCATATCACCCAGTCTTAGTACAGATGTATTAATGGGTATTTTTTCAAAAGTTTTAAATTTGCGTAATCCTTACGGGCAATTGTACACTGTCATAATACATCTATTAAAAGCGGTTGTGTTGTCAGACTCTTGTAATAACAATCTGAGCCAGTCAGTGGCAAAAACAATGGAGGTACTTTTAAGGTTTTAAGGTGCCCATATGGATTCTGTTGTAGCCCATTTTGCTTCCGTCTGCAGCTCTCTCACTCAATCCTGAACCAAATTCAAAACTTGTTGACCCCATTAGTCACTTTGACACATAAGGAAAATACTAAAGTTACACATGAAGTGGGTGACTTTCATGAGCCTTGTGCTATTAACATCCATTAGTATTGTATATTGACATATTTAGTATTGCTTATAATTCTAATTTTTTGTTGGTATAGGCTGTTCTTGCAAAAGTGGCCATCTACGCTGATACTGAATGCTTTTATATTGAGTGAGAAACTCCACCTTGAAAGTTTTTGAATTGCTATGAGTGCTGCAAATAATAAATAAAAATATATTTTTGACATCTCCTCCCAGTCCCTGACTCCAGCCACAGTGGGCCAAACCCTGTCCAGCCCCTCCACCCCTGGGTCAATGCCCACTTCATCGGGCTCAGTCCTGTCCTCCTCTGGTTCTGGAGGCAGGGAGAGGGAGAGAAAACCTGAGGGACACCAGGATGCCTCTGGAGGGGCGCTGCCACAGCCAGTAGCCTGTCACCCGACGCCAACTGCCCTGCTGCCGCTCATACTGCCAGCTGAGTCGCCTCACCCTGCTCCACGCAAGCAAATCATCATGGGACGCCCAGGGACTGGTAAGGAAGGACGGGGAGAGGGAATGAGAGATCATCAGGGCACTGTGGCGCATCAAATACAAAGTCTGCTGAGGGTCATTGCTATACTGTAAAGCAGGAAGGGATGTACAGGCCAAAGCTTACGTACTCTAGCCTAGTACTTCTCACTTTCATTATCTCTCTAGGGTTACAGGAGTGTCCTCAGAGTGCTATGGTTATGACTCACGTACACTATTGTTTGCCTGCACTGTAAGAAAGCAACAATATTCAAAGGAGGGGTTTTTTTGGCCCCCATGACTTGGCTTTTTGGGGATTTTGACCTTTATAAGGAGCGTTTTTATTGAGCTATTAATTACATTTAGTAGGCATGTATGTGTCAAATAATGCTATACAAATTATAATATACCATGATAGACAAAGTAAGAATATGAGAATGGCTCTGCTGCTTTGGTCTGCATACTTTCTCTGTGGCGCCCATAAAATCAGCCACAGTGGATAGAAGGAGAAGGAATTACATTAGTGCATATTATCCTGAATATAAAAAAGAAAAGCCAGATGTAAATAAATTATAGATGTAGTTGGTGACATTTTAGAAAATTCATTTTTGACCCAAGCTTTAGTGAATTTCAGGTCCTGTATGTAGGGTTTGGTGTTCTAGAAAGTGTCATACATATTGTTGGTTGCTTATCATTTTTTCCTTAAATCATACCATCACCTAACTCTCTAAAGTACAAGGTGTACTGTAAATGTCAGAAGGAGCACACTGTTGTTTTAGGGAGAATGAAAGGGGGTGATGTTACCCTGATCAGCAATTTGGTGTACCCGCTTTATATTCGGGGGAAAAGTCTGTTTTGTCAGCTATGTGTGCACACTGTTGGATATAAGAAAATTGGCCGCTGAGAAATAGAGGTGTTTGGGTTAATCATATACTGTATGCTTGTTTCCATGCCAACCTTGCGATATTACAGCCAAAACTCAGAAATGTTACTTTGAATATATGAATAAGGAAGATGCTTTCCATTTGAAATGCATGATTTCTCATTTGTGTAATTTAAACACAACCCTTTCTAAATCTGAAAACTGAAAGTATTAAATGCACAGATATATAGACTCTCCTCAAATATTGGCAATCTATAGGTTGCTCAGTTTCACACTAACAAAATGCAGTACATACAAGTCATACACATTCAGGAAACTGCATGGTTTCAGCTACAGAACAGTTGTTTTAAAACCATTACTAGTGTCAGAAGTAGCAGTGTTATATTATGAGAATTTGTGAATTCTAAATTTCTATTTTGAGTATTTCATAACCCCTTTCTGATTAAATGATCATTTATTGACTTGGTTCAAGTGTTAAAGATGACTTGAGAGTGAAACCTGTTTCTTCTGAGGCGTGAAGATCAGAAAAGAAAAATCAGTCACTCAGGCAGAATCCCAGACCTGCTGCTCATTGTGTGTAATTTGTGAGTCAGTGTGTGTAGTGCCAGAGTTATCGAGTGTACTTGTGTGTGAGAGTGCGCGTGTGCAGGGGGTGTCACTCTTTTTATATTTACACATGTGTGTGTGTGTGTGTGTGTGAGAGAGAGAGATAAGGGGTGTTTTACAGAAACTTTAAAAGGATATTGACATGTCTAGACATGCAAGACTGAGAGCGGGAGTGCAGAGAGCAACAAGGACATTCACACCTCCTCCTCCACCCCACACACTCATACACACACACACACACACTCTCACACACACACACACGCACATAGACACTCCCTCTTCTCGGTGTTCCAGACAATCAACAACCTCAGACAGGGCATCAAGGGCAGGTCCAGCGTGATGTGAATGTGTTTCATCACTCTCAGCAGAAAAAGGAGTAATTGTATTGCTGGCGTGTTGTCATGGATACACTGTTTCCACCGGTAGAATTAGCGCAGTAAAGCGTTGAGGCCTGAGCTGATTACCAGAGCACGCTTTTATTTCTCTCTCCCTCTCACAACCCTCGCACTGCTGCTAACAGCCACCTGCCTCTGTAGCGTAACGTTTCCTCCGCCATACATTTTTAAAAACACCTAGAGCCACAGTGGGCTCAGAAACAAACACAGGCAGAAGGCAGTGGAGGCCCCCACGGCTGAGATCTCGCCTATATATAGCCCGGCTCAAGTGCAGCTGCATTAGCATCACAAGTTTCATTACTGTTCTCTTTGAGTACATCTGCAGCCTTCAGTGGAGAAGAAGAGATTAGAGCTCAGATGTAGCTGAGGTTCCATCTTGTTGCACAGCTCGGGAACTGTATTAATTCTTTTGTGCCCACAGTGCTAGTAATGTGCAGTCATAGGAAAGGTGGATATCTAGAGTTGAGTAGCATAATGTCCCCACCTTAAAAGATAGCTGTTCACCCCGTCAGGTGCATTTCTTTATCACTGCTGCCTCTTGCTAGTCATCACTATCAGCGGTTCACAAAACCAGCAGAGGCAGATGGATATCTGAGCAGTGTTTCTTTCTCTGATATTTTTCACAACTCACCACTTAGTGCTTCCCTGGAATATTCATGCCTCGCTTCTTCAGGGTGTCAGCAGGTCCATTAAAAGTTTGAAGTATCTCAAGCAGATTTCTTTAGCACCTTAAAGGATGAGGCTGGTGTTATTCTGTATTTTTCTCACAGATCTCATGAAAAGCCCAAAACCAACAATGTGTTAGTCTGTCTCTCCCTCCGACTTCCCCAGTCTGCAGCACTCATCCTCACACCCAGTTGTTCCTCCTGAAGTACATTTTTAAAAACCTTGCCAACAATATTCGGTTTTATCTTTTAAAAAAAAGTTTGGTAATTTACTGTAAGAGCTGGGCGCTGTAGGTTTTAGCAAACAGAAGTTAATTGTGCATTTGTTGGGGACTATTTTCAGCGGTGGGTTAATACACATTTGGTGTTCTTGTGGGTAATTACAGGAGTAGGATGGTGCATGTCGGATTAATTTAAATTAAATTATATTGCCCATTGCAAGTGACTAAAATGCCACCCAACAATGGAGTAATACGATATATCAGGCGTTTGGCTAAGACAGACAATACTTGTTAGTGACCAGTTTATTGTTAATTCTAGTCTTTTCATGGGAATTGTTGAGAGTGAGACAAATATTGAATGTCAGTTTTGTTCTTCACCTACTAGTATTTTGTTGATTTTTGTTTTAACCCTTACACCGTGATATTTGGTTGAGTCAGAGTAGGAAAGTAAGGCAGATCAACTAGTGTTATGTGTAGATTTACCACAACTGTGGGTGGAAACAATGAAGAATGTTGATTGCGAACTTCCACTGGGTGACATTGTGACTCATGTATCTTCAATGTTACAATAATACCCGACAGGGTTAACACAGCATTGACCGTATAAACATTTCCTGTTGCCCTCGTCATTCAAATTAGTCATTTGCTACGTTCAGTTGGAAACTATTTGTTTCTGCCAGCACCATGTCTTTATTTTCTGTTATTAATTGAATCTTAAATCCAATTCAAGATTGCATTAAAATGTATTTTAGGGTGCCCGGTTAGCTCACTTGGTAGAGCTGGCAACCATGGACCGAGTCCTGCAGCGGCCCAGGGTTCAAATCCGACCTGTGGCCCTTTGCTGCGTGTCATCCCCACTCTCTACCCACCTTTCCTATCTATCTCCAGCTGTCACTGTCCATTACAGGCAATAAAAGGCCAAAAAAGGTGGCAGACCCTACTGATAGCTGGGTAAGTTTAATAAGAATGGAGATAATCATTTAAACAAAGACTGTTAAATCGTTTTAAAAATGTAAACTCCCAAATATTATTATTATTATCGACCTTAAAAA